CCCCCCCCCTTTCTGCTTTACTGGGCAAGGAATGTTGTAGGTCCTGAGCCTGCATCACTTAAAGAACACCGGTGTATAGCCCCCATATGAGGCCCTCATACACACCCAGTGTCCAGCAGGGGGCTCTCTAACTCACTACGCACCCTACACACACTCCTACGTAGCTTTTTACACCCTCTGGTGTTCCTGTACCTCTGTGTTTGTTTTCACTACAGGTGAAATGTGATTTTCATCGCACTGTTTCTAAGAAGCATTACTGCAATAGCAGGTCATGTATTTTAGGGATTGCCTGGAGCTCACTGAGTGCAGTCAGTTGCTGATTTTCCAGTTAATGGTTTGTGTTTGCTTAGCTGGCTCTTTTACACAAATCAGCTTACATAGATTGTAATTTCACTACTTTGTCCATTTATACAGCCTTTTATACACTACTTCTGCTGGCAAAGTGCCCACAAATGATCAGCGCTAGTTGCTAGTGTAGCTTTGGCATTTCCAGCCATTTCATTCCAAAACAACTTTGTGGGTTCATGGCCAGGTGATTGTGCAGGCCATGATATCACCCCATACTTTCCATCATTTTCCGTCTGCTTCAAATGGTTCTGATGTGGCATTGACACTGACTTCAGTGCTTGGAGTTAAACAAAAATGCTAAAACCTAGTGTTAAAATTTTTTTGACTGACATTGTACATAGTTTCCAAAGGCCTAAATGAATCCAATTTATGAGATTTGGCAGGGAAGCAGCTTGTGATCCTTTTGCAATGAAAATACACACATGAGCATGTAAAGACATGCAAACTCCCCATCAGCCTCAGCTCCCTGCAGGGGGACAAAGGTTCCTTTACCTCCCTCGATGTGTGCAGTCACCCACCCTGTTAAGGTCATTCTCACGGCTGTATGGATGAATGGACAAATATTCCTGGGACTTATCATAAGCATCTTGTTTAATTCAGGTGTTTCTAGACAGTGAAGGTGTTTGAGTTCTGTTTATGTTAATTGACCTTTTTTTAGGCCCCAGCAACACAGCAGTGTCAATCTTTTCATGCAAGTGGCAATTATTTTATAATTTTCAAGTAATAAGTGTAAACTTATCGTTTTAATAAATCAGACAAGTGTACATTTTATAATTTTACTCAAATGTTCTGGGTTTTTACTTGTTAGTTTTGCAGATTTCATATTGCAACATTTATCAGAGGAATTTCTTCAAAACCTAACACAAACTTGTTCAGGAGTCCCCCAACACAGTCTGTGAAAAAAACTAAATCAAAAATGAAGAGATCAGGGGTGTCCAATCTTATCCGCAAAGGGCCGGTGTGTATGCGGGTTTTCGCTGCAACTGCCTAATTAGATCACTAATTAGAGGACTGATTGGCTGAAGAGTCCTCACACCTGGGTTTGAACAGCTGACTTACAGGTTATCCCAAAAACCTGCATACACACCGGCCCTTTGCGGATAAGATTGGACACCCCTGGAAAAGATAATGAAAAGAAAAAGAAAAGCTTGTCCCCGTATCAACAAGAAATGTGCACCTTCTCATTAGAAGAAGAGCGGCGGGTGCGGTTGTGCACTGCAGCGTTTGACGCGCGGCGCGTCTCCCTGATGACTAGGAGCCACCCGGCCTTCGCTCGCCTCTCCTCCAGCTCTCGCTTATACACTAGAAAAGTAGGGAGATCCTGGGTCTGGAAGAAGAGGAGGCTGGCGCTGGTGTCACCGTTGCCCCTGTCCCATGAATCTGTGCGTGGCTGAGGCAGTAAGGCACGTGTGGTGGGACATGTGTGGCACATCCAGCGGGGGTTTTCTGGGGGCCCATTTCAGAGGCGTCACTGCAGGAGTAGCAGTCAGATGCTGGATCTCAGGGTCCCCACTCAGAATCACGGGCTGAATCCTTGTATTCTGGAGAAGGAACTCTTTGCTCATGTCAATGTGTAATTAACAAAGGGGTATTTTTGTAAATATCTAAACATAATGTTGTGAGCTTTTCATGTCTTGCCTATAGCTGCTGTTAAGCAAAGACCTTGGGTTCTGCAGGAATTTTTACTCCGAGCCCCAGATTTGATGTGGCAGAATTTTAATGAGAATAAACACTCATATAAACAGATCTTCCATAGCTGCTTGTCCTGTGCAGGGTGATGGGGTTCTGCAGCCAATCCTGGAAGGTATGGGCACAAGCCAAGGAACAACCCACCTTCACATGCTTTTGTTGTGTGTGTGTGTGTGGGGGGGGGCAGAGCCGGGGGCAGAGACTCAAACCCAGGTCATCAGAAATATAAGGCAACCATGCTATCTACTTCACCACCCTAAACTGGTGCCCTGCTTATCCTGACAGCAAAACGTGCCTATATTATTGTTTGGAGATGGGGGTTGCATATACCTACAATTTCTATGTAGAAAATGACATGACCTGATGTGATCTTTGACTTTTCTGAGGATCTAGTGATATAAAGTGGCTGGTTTGTAACTCTGTCTCTCTCTGTTGCTGCAGGTATAATTCTGGCCTCAGATCTGGGGGTGCATTCCTGACCTAAGGTCCAGTGCTTATCATGTTCATCGTGTTATAGAGGATACTGATCTGATCCTGCCCCATATCATTTACACTCTCAGGACAGGTATTCATCATGTTTTACACCTTACACCTATTACAAAGGAATCTTTGTTTCAGATTCATAATTGAATTTGCATGCGATATGTTGTCCTGCTCTGTTCTTTGTGTCACCACTTTTCACCACTAGATGGCAGTGGAATGCGCGCAGCTGAGCACACTTCATCTGTAGCGAATACATGGAGAACTGGCTCACCCCTTAGTATATCCAGTGACTACATTGCATCAACGTATTTCATTACATATGACATTTGAAAAAAATGTGTAGTAAATATTTTATTGTGTAATAAATGCATAATAAATAGCATAATAAATATTTAATCGATATTAAGTGCCAACTTCATAAGTACAGGAAACTGGATTACTTAAGACTCTTTTTGTTCCAAGACCTGTGCTTTATCCATATAAAGACATTGATTCGTTCTTTTTGCCGCATGGTCTGGTGGTGGCAGAGCCTCTGGCTTGGGCATTAGAACCCAGGTATGAATTTGAGTTCTCCATGTTTGCTGTAGCTACTGATGCCAGGGTACGTTTCTCCATAAGCCTGGAATGACACTTTATCACAGAGAGATACTGTAAAGGTAATTTAAACACTGTGTCTGGATAGTCTGTGTGGAATTTGAGAAGACCTATTGTTCTTCTAATGAACTAAACTTCAAAGACGTTGTATGTGATTAGAAACAGCTGTATGTTCTTCACAGTATCAGAGTACAGTATAAGGCCATCATTGTTACTATCACGTTGTTACTTTATCTAGTTTCTGCCTATAAACATACAATCATGTGAAAAAGAAAGTACACCCTCTTTCAGTTCTAAGGTTTTACGAATCCGAACATAATAAAAAAAAATCATCTGGTCCTTAACAGGTCTTAAAATTAAGTAAATACAACCTCAGATGAACAACAACACATGACATATTACATCATGACATTATTTATTTAACAAATAGCAAGTCAAAATGCAGAAGCAGTGTGTGAAAACTTACACCCTCACTGCTTCCAGTGGAATTTAGAGGGTAAGTAGCAGCCAGATGCTGCTAATCAAATGCACTTGATTAACTGACCATCAGCAAGTGTGACCAGCTCAATAAAAGCAGAAGTTTTGGTAGTTTACTGGTCTGGAACATTCAGGTGTGTAACACAATGCCAAGGAGGAGCAATCTTTACTGCCCATCAATCTAGGAAGTGTTATAAGGCCACTTCCAAGCAATTTGAAGTCCATAATTCTATAGTGAGAAAGATTATTCACAAGTGGAAAATATTCAAAATAACTGCCAATCTCCAAAGGAGTGGATGTCCCAGTAAATTCACCCCAAGGTCAGACCGTGGAATGCTCAGAGCAATTGCAAAAAACCCAAGAGCTACATCTCAGACGTTACAGACTCAGTCATGTTAAATGTTAAAGTTCATGATGGTACAATTGGAAAAAGACTGAACAAGTATGGACTGTTTGGAAGGGTTGCCAGGAGAAAGCCTCTTCTCTCTCAAAAGAACATGGCAGCATGGCTTAGATTTGCAAAGTTGCATCTGAACAAACCACAAGACTTCTGGAACAATGTCCTTTGGACTGACAAAACCAAAGTGGAGATGTCTGACCATAATGTACAGCACCGTAATGCAGCAAATCAGCACAAACATGCCAACTGTCAAGCCTGATGGTGATAATTCGGGCTTGTTTTGCAGCCACAGGACCTGGGCACCTGCAGTCATTGAGTCGATCATGAACTCCCCTGTATAACAAAGTATTGCAGAATCAAATATGAGGCCATCTGTTTGACAGCTAAAGCTTGGCCGAAACTGGGTCCTGCAACAGGACAATGATCCCAGCTACACCAGCAAATCTACAACAGAATGGCTGTAAAAGAAAAGAATCAAGGTGCAATGGCCCAGTCAAAGTCCAGGCTGCATAATTGAAATGATGTGGTGGGACCTTAAGAGAGCTGTGTATAAACGAATGCTCACAAACCTCAATGAACTGACTCAACGTAAAGAAGAGTGGACCAAAATTGCTCCACAATGATGCGAAAGACTGATAAAGTCATACAGAAAATGATTACTTTACATTATTGCTGCTAAAGGTGGTTCTACAAGCTATTGAATCACAGGGTGTACTTAGTTTTTCACACATGGATTCACCATTTTAGCTTTTTTTGTTATTTTACACCTGAGGTTAGATTTAAATAATTTTAGAGCCTGGTAAGAACCAGGTGATTTTTTTTTTTAAATGTCCCGTTACGTAAAACCATATAACTATAAGAGGATGTACTTTCTTTTTCATATCACTGTATATATTCTTGTGCATAATTAAACTTCTCAGATTTCATTCATAACACTTTTTTTAGCTGGGTATGGCACGTGGCCATATCCAACGTACATTATAAATTATTTAATCTGGGTCCAATCCATGTGTCATTATAAATTGTTAAAATTCCTTATTTTGTGTTTTTATTTTTGGGAAATATATTAACATTTTACACATTCTCATAACAGATAACATTAGAGTCCATAAATGTTTAGGGGGAAAAGTAGATTTCTTCCTTCGTACTGGAGTCTGCATAATATTGTCTTTTACCTAAGCGTAACTTTGTAAAGCTCTTGTACTCTCTGTCATCAGGTTAGTCTTTATAGATCATTCCTTCCATCTTTTTACTGTTGGTTAATCCATATAAGCCTCCTTTCTCTTATGCTTAGTCGATTTAAACCTTTTCCAGGGCTCGGTAATCTTTTGAAGCAAACTTATGCTGTTTGTGAGCCAGTTAGTCTATATCAGGGTTCCTCAGTTCTGGTGCTGAAGGGCCAGTCTGCAACATAGCTACTAAACCTGGCTGTTAGCTGTTGAGCTGAATAAGATGTGTTTGAGCAGGGAAATCTGTAAACTGTGGCGCAGACCATCCCTCCAGGACCGGAATTGGGAGACCCAGGACTAAAAGAATCCTTTTCTCTTTTATCTTAGTGTTGGATTACCTGCACCTTACCTTTCTTTGCTTAAACAATTTAAACCTTCTGTATGGGCTGGATGGTTTATGTAAATGTAGTATGTGTATAGAGTTGGGGGGTTGAATTACTTGGCAAACAGAGTAATGTTATCATTGTTCAGCAATGCCCTGAGCCCCAAAAACTGCTCCAGGGCTGCTGGAGGTTGGTTGACCCTGCCCTCTGGCCCCATGTTGTCCTCTCTTGTAGGTCGATTTAGACAAAAGTAATGGAAATGTGAGCTGGTATTTCTCTGCGTTAGGTCTGGCTGATCCCCAATGGCAGGACCATCGTGTACAAAGAGGGATTCTGGATTTGGGGATATATATCGAGAGACACCCAAACTCAGGACACAGGCCAGCATATCTTCTACGTATCTGAAGTCTCAATGTGTTTTTGGACCTCATTTGAAATATGTTCCCTGGAAGCCTGATGCAGGTGTGCCAGTACCCAGTTACAAATAAGTGGTACGATGAAAGAAAATGTAAGAAAATACATGTACAACCTGATCATGACATTTACCTTTACCTTTAAAAGGGCATGGTAAGGTTAAGTGTGGTCACGGTGCACTTTTGTGGGATGTTGTTTTCTGGGACTTGGAGATCCCCTGGCAGTGGAGCAATTCAAAATTAGTGCATGAAAGGCTGCATAGCTTAAATTAGCCAAGTCAATTTAGCTAATTTAAGCTGCCTGGTATATAAAGTACGCGGTTGCCCTGGCAGACACATGCAAGCAGCTGACAGTAAGACTGGTCTATAAACCGCTAAACACGTTGCTGTGAAAGGTCACAGGCAGCATGAAAAGAGCGAGGAACAGCACAGATATGAGACAGCAAAATGCATCGTCATTGGCAATTGCGAACAAGTCCTGCTGTTCCGTGGAAACAAGTTTGTCACGGAACTGGACAAACACAATTACCCAATGGAAAATTAGGGAAAAGGCTGTGAAAGGCTGTGAAAAGCATGGCATGTTTGCTAAAGCAAATTGCGATGCATGATGTGTCTTTGAGAGGCGGGCACATTTCGCACAGCAGTCTTGACCCTTTGGGAGTACATTTTACTTGACGGGGCACAAATAACATACTATTACACGATCACTTATGTATTAATTCAGAGCAAACTAAGTCTTAGTTACATACTGATCTCATGTTTATTCATCATTAATGAATCATGATGCATGTTTTATCTCAAGCAGTTATATTTTTTACTACAACTTAATTCCGTAAATCTTTGTGAACAACTGAAGGAACTACTAAAGGAACAAGTCATGAATAACAGAACTTACATACTGATCTCATATTTGTTCATCATTAATGAATCATAATGCATCTTTCAAACCAGTTGCTTTATTTACCATATCTGTTCATTTTGTAAACCTTAGTGAACTACTTAAGGAACAAGTAATGAATAACATAAGTAAAATACTGATCTCACTTTTGTTCATCATTAATGAATCAATGCATCTTTTATCTCAAGTGTCAACTATATTAGTTCATGATTTGTTCATATTTTGTGTTTTAGTAGTAACTGGGTTATTAAATATTTAAGTTTAAGCATTTGTACCCCATCAAGTAGAGTGCTACGCCTTTTGGTCTCTGGGGTTTCTGGGGCGTCCCTCTTTACACAAAGATTTAATAAGTTAATGAAAGAAGATCTAAAGGATAAGTAAAAGCCCAAGTCTTGCAGTATATATGGAGAGCATTTATGCAAATAAATGATTTAAAGGGGAAGTGCGCCATAAAAATCATCATAATCTCTTGGTACAGACAGTTTGGTCTGTGTGTGGTTATTTCACAATATCGCAGCTAGAAGGCACTCAATATCACCTCACATACATCGGGAAAGGGGGAGTTGAGCTTGCGCCACTGGAAGAGTGACAAGTACATAATAATGCTTTAAAAAGCAAGCAATACAAGTTGCATTAATAAAAATACTGAGAAAGGATTAACAGGCCTTTTTGTTTACCAGGGATGGGGTTGTGCATGGAGAAGACTGGAGAGCACTGCAAGCTCATGTCCAAACTCTTGTTTATGAGTAAGATCATCATACAGTGGCCCCCCTCCCTTACTTTTGGCCCCAGTAAGTGAATTTTTTATGGAAATATTCTGGTCATTTCAATCAAAGTCCGGGCTAATGGCCTTATTTGTTAACACAACTGATTTACTGGAATGATACTGAGACTCTATGATTAGAAACTTCAATGATGAGCATCTGGATGCAAGGCAGAAGGACAACAGAC